GGCTGAGCCTGTCCCGACCCAGCGCAGCAGCCAGGCTTTCGGAACCAAGGTTGTGCCAGGGGCCAGGGGTGGGGGTGAGATGAGCGTGGCTGTGCTCAGTGGGGCCCGGTGCGTGTGGCCTGGGAGGTCCCCGGGGGCTGTGCCTTGTGGGTGTGGGGTGACGGGGGCCTGGGGCTGCTGGAGCTGGCAGCAGGGCAGGTGAGGACGGCCCGGGGGTGTGCCTGTGTGCAAGTGCACATGTGTGCTGTACACCCGTGTGCATGTGCACGTGTGTGTGTGTGTGTGTGTAGATGCATGTGTGTGCCTGTCTGCATGCACACATGTGCGTGTACGTGCATGCGCATGCCTGTATGTGTGCACGTGTGCATGCACCCACACGTGCGCGCCTGTGTGCATGTGCACACGTGTGCGCCTGAGAGCATGTGTGTGTGCCTGTATGCCTGTGCACGTGTGTGCGTGTACCCGAGTGGGGGCCTGGGTACGTGTGTGTGCGTGTGTATGTGCCTGGGTGCATGTGCATGTGTGTGTGTACATATGTGCTTGTTTGTGTCCAGGTGCACGTGTGTGTGCCTGTGCATGTGCACGCATGTGCCTGCCCGTACATATGTGCACACGTGTGCCTGCCCGTGTGCGTGCCTGCGCACACGTCTGCTGCCTGTGTGCCTGTCTCGGTGCCTGGGGCTCGATGTGCGGTACCTGAGCCTCCCCGGCCTGGCCAAGGCAGAGCCGCTCTCTGGTCTCTTCACCACCAATGGCTCTGCAAAGCGGCATCACACCAGCGTTTTGCTTACACGTATCTGTGACAGAGCTGAGGTCTGTGTGTGTATTGTGTACAGCGTTTTCATGAGAAATACTTATCTTTTTCCTAAAGTGGTACTTTCCATTTGCCCTTTCTTCCCTTCCTTATGCGTCAGCAAGGCTTCTGCTCTTTCAGGGTGTTGTGTGTGATGTCTCCTTCCAGACTGTGGCAGGGAAGCATTGGTACTGCCATGTCCTGCAGCTTAACAGTAAAAAGGGGTGCTCTTCAGAGTACTGCTTCTACTGCCCTTGGATGTTGAAGTTGTTAACAGTTTTTACAGTTCTACATCACTCACTCAAACTTGTGTTCGGCTATTCCATCCAAGGCAGGGTTTTTAAACATGAAACTCACATCCTAAGCTTCTTTCATTGCCAAGCTCAGGAGGAGTTAAAAAAGATAAAGGAAGTTAAGTGGAAAGAACGTGAAATGGGGGACTTGGAAGTGTGTAACCGTTGGTACAAAAACAAAGGTAGTACTTGTGCTCGTTTTTATGTTATCGATGTGCCATGGCAGTTGTCGCATGCACACATGCTGATTTCCAAAGTCCTGGGTGCATGGAGGCTTCTTCACAGTGAGAAGTTAGTGGAGTAATTAATTTGTTCAAATTTCATACCTCTGCTCCTTGAGCATTAAATCCTCCTTAGCACACACTATACGATGCCTGCTTTTCACCCTTCTCCTTGTCCACAAAGGGTGCCGCGTGGGGCGAAAAAAAGGAATAGCTGGTCACTGGTCTGCTGTGGCTTCACGTCCTCATTGCTGGCTTCCAGCATCCCTGCGGAGGCAAACCTGTAAGAGCACGAGTCGCACCGCACGGTGCGGTGCTCCTGTGCCACGGACATCCCTCCGATGGCCCCGCTCCCTGTCACTGCCCCGTTTGCTCCACTGCCCTTTGCCCACTTCCAGCTGCGCTCACGTTTATCCCCTTGGCGCCCGGTTGCACAACCGGCTGCGCTCCAGGCCCAACGCCGCCTGCGAGGACCCTGGGCTCTGCTCGGCTCTCTCTGGCCCAGTTTCCCCAGTTGCTGATAAACCTCCTGACCATCTTGCTAAGGCACTTTGAAATCTGCCAGTTAAAACTTCTGTGCCAGGCGTAGGCATTAGTGATTATGTCTTTTCAAGTTACTCTTGCTGTTTATTCTGATGTTGGATAGCTCTTCCACTCCTTGAAGTCTAGGAGAACGCAGAGGTTTTTCCTGAGGAGGGAGAAGCCTCCGCAGTGTCTCTCGCACTTCATTCTCCATGCCTTCTGCCCGTAAAGCTCTCAGTTACACACGTGCAATCCCTTATACCCCGTTGCTGTTGATTATAAGCTGTTTGCAGCCTTTCTGGGCTTGCGCGGGAGGCCTTCACCGTGCGCTTGTGCTTCCTTTCAGAGCCGTCCTCACTCCTTGGCCCGGCTGCCTCGCCGTGCTGCCGGTGCCTCCCTGCCTGGCAAGTCAGAGCATGTCCCAGCCCCGCGAACGAGACGCAGAGGATGGCAGAGCTGGACGAGCGCGGGGAGGGCACTGCGGGGGCTCCCGCGCTCACCGGCCCCTGCCTCGCAGACAACAGGCTGAATCTGGATGTTTATCCTGACGGCTGCTGCCGCTTCCTCCAGCTGTTTGAGAGGCGCGGGGGAGACCTGGCCCAGGTGGAATTCGTCCGGCTCAGCGGCAACGATCGCCTCCTTGGCGCCACGCTGGGCATCCTCCCTCATCTGAAGAGCCTGAAATCCCTCGTGCTGAAAGGTAAATTCGTGGACCTGTCACCATCCACTTTCCTAGGCTCAGTTTTAGTTTTTTTTTTTTTATTCTCCTCTCCACATCCGCAGGACAAACTGCCTTTATGTGTGGGGTTTTTTTGGTGGTACCAGTGCCCCTTCCTAGAGCTTTGGCTCTTAGTCTTGCTCAAAGCTGCATGCGGATTTCACCAAGAAGCAGCTTTGAGGCTCGCGTTTCCCCGCTTTGTTTCTGCAGCTGCCTGGGGACCAGTTTGTGGAGTCTAGTTAGATGGACACTGCGACTTTTTCTTTATCCATCCTCTGCAAGGAGAATGTTTTTTGCAGTTATGTATAGAGAGGGGGATTGACAGGTGATAGATTTTTTGGTGGCTGTTCAGCCCCTCTTTTATTTTTGGAAGCATAATGAGCTCTTTTTGCTGCAGGTTGCTCTGAATAAATCCTAACTCGATCCTTGCTTAATGTCAGCAAGGATAAGCTTAGCAGCATTCAAGATCGACCCGAAGAGGCTGTTCAACATTTTATCAAAAAGTAGGACTCAGGATGTGCATGTAATTTGGCATGCTGTAATAACTGTCACATATAAATATTATATCGTTCTTTGACTTTCTCGTCTCTTTATTGTAGGAGGATCTCAATATGAATGATAGTATTTTTGTATCAGACTGAATCATTTGGTCTTTGGGAGGTAGAATTTAAAAACGCATGAGAGAGAAGGGTGGTTTTGTGGCCAGGCTTCAGCATTCGAGCTGAAAACTTGAGAGACTGAGGTTCATTTCTGTGTCTGCCACAGATTTCTCATAAAATCTCATGCAAATCATTTTGTTTGTCTTTTCCCCCTTCAATAAAGTCGTGATAACAGTAGTGCCTGTTGTGAGACTTGCTTTGAGAGATGAACGTACACCCTAAGCATCCTGAAGTGGAATAGAGTAGGTCACTGAGATTTTCTTATGTTCCAGGTACAGTTTGATTATTTACATTTTTTACCATTTTGCAGCATAAATATTTTTTGGTGCCCTCTGCTGTAAGCTTTTACAAACGGACAGCAGTTGGAAGGGCAGGAGGAAGCAGTGAAGAAACGGAGCGTAGTGGGCGTCTGCCTTTGGTTGCCTAACTTCTTTTTCCTGGGCGCAACCCTTCTCCAGCTGGAGTTTCGCAAGCTGGGGCGGGGGTCCTACCCCTCCCTCTCTGCCTTGTCATCTGGCCTGCTACTGAGCTACCTGCTTTTTGGCCATATTTTGACTGCTTTCCTCGTGCCTGCTTCGTCCGAGGATGGAGTGGGGGGGCTGCCCAGGGTCCCTCCCCTGTCCTGCAGGTCTCAGTTCTTGGGGCTGTTCGTGCTTCGGCAGCCTGGGCAGAGCCTGGAGGGCGAGGAGTCCTCCCCCACGGTCCCCCCAGAAAGGTTGTTTCTTGTCCAGTGGGGTTGGTAAGAGGTGGAGGAGGAGAGCGGGAGGCTTGGAGGGGTGTGAACCACCCTACTGAGTGGCAGTAAGGCATGGAGTGGCCTGGCTGTTTCTGAGCTTTGACTCCCCGTGTGTTTAGGTGAGCTCTCCTAGCTGACTGTGGCAGCTCTTGATTTCATAGCAGGTCTTCACTGTTATACCTCTTTCACAGATGGGGAAACTGAGGCAAGGAGCGGAAAAAACGCATATCCACAAGTACTTTGTAATCAGTGTTGCTCGTAGTGATGCGTAACTCCGTTTTCTGTGCTACGGCTTCAGAAAGGAGCTTGGTGTGAGGCTGGTGAGGTATCCCTTCAGCACAGCGACCTCTCCCTCTGCTTCCCTCTGCACCCAGGTGGCCATGCCCGGGACGAATTTGGCTCGTGTCAGCCTGGTTCTCTGACAAATTTGCCACCGGACTTTGGGAACCTGAGGTGTCTCACTCACCTGGATCTCAGCTTCAATCGCCTTTCCACCTTGCCCAGCTGCATCCCCCACCTCCCCAGCCTCCGTGTGCTCCTGGTGAGCCACAACAGCCTGGTGGTGCTGCCTGAAGACTTTGGCTGTCTGAGCAAGCTGACTTTCTTCTCTGCTATGAAAAACCAGCTGAAGGACTTACCGCAGAGCATTGGGGAGCTGGCAGCGCTGCAGGACCTGGATCTCTCGGAAAATGCCTTGGAATACCTCCCTGATGAGGTTGGAAATCTGCGCAACTGCACAGAACTGGATCTCTCTGGGAATCGGTTATCGAGTATCCCAGACTCTTTAGGTAAATATTTGCCCTGGGGAAAAGAAGATGACCCTCAGTCTCTCTCCCCATGGAGTGGTTAGCAGGAACTGTCCATTATGCTAGAGCCTGAATGGAAGGGATATCCGGAAGAAACATGCTTGGTTCAGTCAGTCTCTTTAGCATTAAGAGATCTCTGGACCACGCTCTCTGTGATCAGCAGGACTCCTAAGATTTCAGTCCAGTTTACAGAAGCTGAGGATCTGGTTTTGGGTAGCATCCAGCACTGGAAGCAGAAGGACTGGGGCTTAATGGTCAGATGGAAATCTGGGCTTGAAATCATGGTTGTCAGACGTGGACCGGTCCACGGGGCCAGACCCTGACTTTGCTGCCCAGCTTTCTGCATAGGGCTTTTAGGCCCTATATGGTTCTGGGCACAGGGGTTGTCACTGATGCTGCTGTATTTTGGAAGCATCTCACAGCCATACTCCTAGCTGGGTGCTGTAAAGCACAAGGCAAAAAAGGCTGCAGTGTCTCTCAGCTAATTCACTGGACCCCTTTATTTTGTGAATTAAAGATATGTAGAGCGCTTGAGCCTTTCCTTTATGGTGTATGCTCCTTCCATGCGCAATGGGAATGAAGATCCAGTGCTTGACGGCAGGAGTGTGCGTGTGTTTGTGGTGAGGAGAGCAGGGAGGGGGTTTGGAGCTGATGTGCAATGTAATTAACAACCCGGATGGGGAGTCACGTCTTGTTCTAACCTGCAGCCAATTTGAAGTCTCTGCGGCGGCTGCATCTCCACAGCAATCTCCTGGTGACAGTCCCCGCGTCACTCGCCAGCCTGCCCAACTTGTCCAGACTCGATCTGCAGAACAACTGCCTCCGAGCCGTCCCCGCCGAGATCCAGACCTCGCCGTTTGTGCACCTCCGCGGCAACCCCTTAGGAGAAGCCGAGCCCTCCCCACAGGCTGGTAATTGCACAGCTTCTTCTTGTGTCGGTCCGGCCCAGCTGCTCCCTCACTCTGCCCAGCACAGTGTGAATAGATTTGGGTTAGAGAGGAGAAGCAGCAGGGAATTAGACCAGTATTTATTTGTCTGGCGTAATTATAAGGTTGTAAGGATACAACAGTGCGAGTTTTGGAGCTTCTGGTTTTATGAGCTCGGCTGGTTCTGAAGGGCTCAGGGGTCCTTGAAAGTGGACTTGCTTGGCCCGCTCTTAGGGAAGTAGAGGTGAAAATGGGATTCACAGGAAACAGAAAGGGCCCTTAAAGGAGTCCAGCCTTTTCAGCAGGGGTGGGCACCGGTTTTTGGGCTCGCTGCCTGACCTTGAGGCTGTGGTGGCTTGTGCTAGAACCACGGGGCAATAGGAGGTGAGCCAGCAGCGCAGTTGCCCCTGGCTTTGCCCTTGCCCCAGCTGCAGGAGGGCAGCTCGTTCTCTAAGGCGAAGGTGTTGAAGCAGAAGGAATCTGAGCAGGGTTTCCCACGGCTGCTCGCATTCACAGGGATGAGCGCTGACTCCCAGGAGAGGCCCCAGGCACTCAGTCATGGTCCCAGGAGCTGCAGGGCAGGTGGATGGGGAGCTTCTCTAACTCCCCCTGCTCCTGAGCTTTCCTGGGGGAGACAGTCAGCATTTCCAATGCATCTGGGGACCCCTAAGCCTCTTCCTGTCCTCTTCTTGCTCCTTGATCTGAAGCTCACTGGAATGTGAGCGTGGTTTCTTTAGTGACTTCTTTCAGAATAGGATTAAATCAAAACCGAAATGCAAGTTCAGCTTTTCTTGCCTACCCGGATCTAAATAACCTCTGTCTCCTCCTGCTACCCAACCCTTCTTACTGCTGCAGATGAATCCAGTGCCAGAAGGCTACAAAGACTGTTTCTTGCATCAGGAGAGGACAGGTATGCCTCTGTTATTAAGAACTTATGTTATAGTAGTGTTACAAGGCCCCAGGCAAGATTGCATGGTAGATACTGCACATGTACGTAGAGAATTTACGGCCTCAGCAGGTAAGTCAGACACAAGGTGGGAGATTTCTTGTGCTGATTTTTGGAGGGCAGAAGTCATTGCCCGGTGTCAAATATTCTTACATTTCTTCTGGAAGCTTTACTGTGACCTCTGAAGGCTGCAAAGTAGTCCTGGCCTGTGGCATCCGTTTCTACTTTCCTCCGGGGGCTGCCTCTGACCCTCAGCGCATTCACTTCCGCACCCTTGCACCAGACCCCCAGTGGGTGAAGCTGCGGCACCACGACGTCCTGCTGAGCACGGTCCTGGAGCTGCGGCCTCACGGAGTTGAATTCCAGCAGGTGAGGGCACATCCAGGCCACCCGCTGAGCCATCGGCCTCTGCCACAGCCCAGCAGCATGGCAGAGTCCTTTGGGACCATGGGTGCCAGCTACACCCGTCACTGCTGTTGTTAAGTAGCTGTCTGATTGGCAGTCCAAAAAGCCCCACTGCAAAGACACAGAAAGGACATAGCCAGCTTCCCGGGCACGGTGTTGGCCTGCCCCCTTTCCTTTCCCCACTGCTTCTGCTTGAGCTGAGCTGCAAACTTCTTCACTTACAGCCCTCCTCCTCTGCCAGAAGGGAGGTGCGGTTCCTGCATTTGACCTTAGCTTGCAGAGAGAATGGCTCGCAACTTTCCCTAAAAGTCTGAGTGGTTTTCATTCAGACTCCTGTGTACTTACACCACTGGCCCTGCCACGGCTGGCAGCAACTCACTGGAAAGGTTACTTTGCTCTTTCTGCCCACAAACTGCTGAACTTTCTCTGCAGTTACAATACACTGTGCGCCTGACATCTCCTGTCCCCTCACTCGAGGCTGAAGGACAGAGCAGGCTCCCATCTCCTCCCTGACTCCCTGCATACAGGCCATGCTTTGCCTCCCCTTCTTGTCTGCACAGGAAGCCACAGAGCAGAGCTAGGTTTGGTTTTATCCTTTATCCTGTTGGTGATACCCTGTTTGGTTTTATCCTTTATCCTTTTATCCCTTATCCTGTTGGTGTCTTACGGGAGTGCCTTTTTGTACCCACTCCATTGCCAGGAGGTGGAAATCTGGATGCCGTATGCCTCCCCTCAAACCCTTCACCAGCGTGAGGTGGTAGTTCGCACCTTTAGTGGGCAGAGCTGGAGCGATTTGAGAACAAAAGTGGAGCAGAAGAGAAAATCAAAGGTAAGCGGGTAGTGACACATGTTCCCCTCTTTGGTTTTGCCTGAACGTGAGCCTGCCTGAAACATTTCCTGAAGCATCTTGTGAGCAGTGTTGTGTCCAGCAGGTATAAAATGGAGTGGATTTCAGCTCTAGGTTCCCTCTCTTGTGGAGGTATGTCTCCTAAAGTTGATGAGTTACAGCATACCCTGCTCCCTCCCTGTTCTAGTATTGGACACTTTGATCTGCTGGGGTTTTACTGCCTCTTTTTTCCCTGCTGTTCTTGTGTTACGTTATATGCCTGTATGTTTTCTTTTCTTCCTTGTCTTCTGTTACAGAAGCATGTGGCTTGTTGTAGTGTCCTTCACTTCTCCTGGTTTCTAGTTGTGTCTCGGCTTGTGGAGAATGAATGCAAAGTGCCAACAGAGGGGACGTTGCTCTTTTCTAGCGTGGATCCAAACATCAAAGTGACCTTCCCTCCTGGAGTCACTGAAGAGACTCGCAGTGTCAAACTGCAGGTATATGTGCTTGAAAAAATAAATGGTGAGCCCTGGTGCAACTGCTGACCCGTGCTGAGTAGGAGATCAGAAGCTGAGCTGGCTACCCTAGGCTAGTTTGGGTCTGACACGGATGCGTCACGGGCTGACCCATCTCAGATCGCCTTCTGCCTTAGCTTCCCTCCCAGCAAAATGGGCTGTGATCCAAGCTGCCCCCCGTGCAGGAGAGAGGCTCTCCTCACAGCTCTGCCAGCACTCCCTCTGGCAGATCAGCTGCTGTGAACAGGACGTAAAGAAGCTTTTACCTCTTATTCCATTACAAAACATAATAGGCCTGTGAGAACAGGTCAGCAAGTGAGATTTGGAGGGACTGCATACGCGGATCTAACTCTAGAGCAGCCCCACTGCAACTAATTGTGCTGTAGAGGAGGCAGACGGTGCTAAATGCTGTTGTAATACCTTGGTCTGGCCCTGCTGGCCAGGTTGACACCACTATTAGAGCGGAATTTGGCCCAGCCACTGGGCTTCCTTTTCCCGCTGCACCCTGAGCCAAGCACAGCGTTTGCCTGCTGGGTGTTGGGGGTCTGCACGGGTGACAAGGGGATTTGGGTGCCCGACTGCTCAGCTCACTGTGCTACGTTCCACATCCAGGTGCTGCCGGTCTCTGCGGAAGAGGTAGAGGAAATCACGGCCAATGTGGGCTGCAGGGCCAGTCCCCTGCTCTGCCTCTCCCAGGATTCCCCGGTGGATTTTCTCAAACCAGTGAGAATTCAGCTCCCCCTCCCACTTGGGGTCACAGGTCAGTTTATTCCCAGAATGGTCCAAGAGAAACTCCATGTGTGGAAAACCACAAGTGGCAAGCTGGACATTTTGTTTGCTTTTCCTGTTAAAAATAAAGCTTGTTGCTCTTCCGGCAGGAACAGCATTGTGGTGAGGCACATCCGCTTGGCGGCTGCTAGTACAGGGTGGTGGGAGCGGAGGTAGTTCAGGTCTTGTAGCAAACCAGCACTGAGCTTCTGGTCCTGCAGGGGAAGAGGAGAAGCAGGTCACAGTAAGCCAGCAGCAGCAGCAGCTAGGAGAATGGCCCTGGCAAATGGGTTTCCCTGCCAACCAACATTTGTATTTAGCCTGCTGGGTTTGGGGGGGTGGGTTGGAGAGGCACTCCTGCAAGCTGAGGAGATGCATCATAAAAGGGCTTTATTCGTGACTGGGAACAGGATAGCTTGAAGCAGAGGAGGAAGATGCTGGCTCCAGGGGTCTACCTTCTCTCTTGCTTTGTGCTCATGAATCAGCTGCTGAGCCACTGCAGTTAATACTGTAGCATTATACACTAAAGCATCTTCTGCTCTAAATACTATGCTATAAACTGCCTCAGCTCAGTAGATAACTTGCCAGGGATTCCTCTGCCTGCGTGTTGAGTACCCTGCATCTACTGATTCCTATTTTCTTCTGGCCTCTTCTGGCTTTCTCATGAGGAAGTAAAATCTTTTTCAGTGTTGCCTTGGCCTTCTTTGTAAGAGTACCTGGTAATCGTATGGCTGGAGTGCATCAAGACTGAAAAGTCTCTGGGCTGTACATTTAGAAAGAGATAGAACTTCATTAGCACCCCTAGGTACTGGTGATGGGGATCACACAGTGAATCTGGTTTGGTGGAGATCAGCACACTATCAGTTTAAGACTGCATATTCTTCCAGAGTATCCTGGAAGCATTGGGGTAGCCTGATCCTTTTACTGCTGCTCTTCTTTATCCAAAGTTCAGTCCCGGATGCTGAAGAGAAGGGCGTGACGCTTAATTTGCCACTTTTAAGAAAGGGAATCACCCCAAGCCATGGCTGGGTTTGTAAAGTCATGAATCAAGAGCGGAAGGAAGATGCCTATATTCACCTCACATTAAAGGCTTCTGCTGTGTACAGCATCTCTTGATTGTTGTCTTTAGGGTTAAACTTGGATCGGTCCAGGCTGCACCTTCTCCATGGGGACCTGCAGGGCCAAACCTGGGATGACATTACCAGTCAGGTGGTGCTGGAATTCACCCATCTTTATGCAATATTTGAAGTCACCCACTTCTCCTGGTAAGTGGGGAGTTAGTTTTGAGGAAGAGATGGGACATTTCTTCACCTTGCTTTTTCTGTCCTTCAGCCAGGAGTCGTGCCGTTAATCCTGCCTATTCCACTTTTCCTTTGGAGTTCAAGCCCAGCTTAAAACTTTCTCTTTACTCTGTTGCACAACTCCACTGGAGAAAAGCTTGTGGTTCTGCTCTCCTCAGAGTGCTCCTGGCCCTTCCTCTTGCCTTTCAGCGCAGAGAAGTCCAGACAGATTTGCCAGTAGGGTATCCTCAGAGTGATTACACTCCAGCCAGTGCCTTCCCATGCCGAATCGGTAGCCCTTCATCCAGAGGGTGCCAGGCCATTCTCCTCTCAGCTCCAAGTTCTCCTCCTCTTCCTCTCTGGTCTCGGCTTCTCTCACTTTAAGTTTTCTCTCCCGCTCTCAATTTGAGCACATGCCTCTCATGCTGTCAGCCAGGATAAGAGGATAAGATGGTGCCTGAAGTGTTGCTTGAGAAGCACAGGCTCCCTCAACACCCAGTTTTGGGTTTTCCTCTGTGGAGTGAAGAGGGGGTCACTGAAGACCTGAACAGTAGGTGATCTCATGGTTGTGACCCTGGCTTCTCCAGGATCTTTCCTTCTTAACTGTTCTGTCTGCCAGGTACTGGCTGTGGTACACCACCAAGACCTACATTGGAGGCATTGCCAAGAAGGTCTACGAGCGATTGCGTTTGTACCAGGTGAACTTCATTGCTCTGCAAAGGAAGAAAGACCCCGAGCAAGTCCTGCTTCAGTGTGTCCCCAAGCACAAGGTCTGGTCTGGGCTGCGTTGCCCTGCTCCTGAGCTCCTGGGGCCTTTCTTTGCAGTATGTAAGGGCAGCAGGGCACCACATGGTCCTGCTCGCTGCCCCAGGGTCGTAGCTGGGGTATGTTGTCACCACGCTGTTGGTACTGTGACGCCAGCTCACGGGGAGAAGGAAAACTTGTTCTCTGCAGTGCAGTGATTTCGTGCCCTGTGAACCCCAGGCTGCTAAGCTCAGCTGGGCCACAGTAGCTGGCCATGTGTATGCTGGTAGCCTGCAGTGAACATGAGGCAAAATGTGTTGGCTTAAACTTCAGTAAAAGATACTAATGTTAATACATTACTTGTCTGCTGTCCGCTCATAGCATGGGTGGAAACAATCTGCTCACTCTGCTTCAGTGCCAGGTTAGCTTATGCTCTCGAGGAGGGCAGTTTGAGCTAACCTGTCTGACTTTGCACTGAAGGCGATGGGAAGCACTCAGGTAGCTCTTCTACTCCCTCTGCCGAATGGATATCAGCCCTCAGCAGTGTTGCTTCAGATGTTCACAAAGTAAATGCAGTTCTGTGTTTGGAGAGCGTGTACCCTGACAGGCAGTGCTGCTCAGTGAGGCGAGGGTTCATTCATCAAACCACTGGAGCTGGGCTGCATATCTAAGTTTCAGCATAATCCTCTGGTCTGATTGCTCCCTCTTGTCTTTATTTGTTTTCCCCCATTGAAATGACACGTGGCTAAAAACCGTCTATAAGGGATCTTCCCCTCTTGGATCTTGGGCTCAAATTCTGTTTCCAGAGGATACAGCAATAGCAGTCATGGTGAGATCAGGGTGCTGTTTTCCTGCCAGTGGTGGTTATGAGATTGGAGATAGGGCTTACTGCTATAAATATGAAGAAGGATAGACACCACAGGATAGACTCTGGGCTAACTCTTGCAGTGCCTCTGAGACCGCAGGGCTCACGATGTTACGATACTACAAGCTGCTATGCCAAAATGAGCCTTCTGGTGTCCTCAGCTGTGTGCCGTTGCTGCAGATGGGTTTTGCAGACTACTAGGAATGAAAGGGAGCAAGTAACTCCCTGTCTTTGAAGGTCACTGACCTGTTAAAAAGACAGTGAAGCTGATAATACCTTTTAGTGGCAGATTTGGGATGGCCTGTCTTTGTCAATCCACACAAGCTTTTCTGCTTTTTACTTAAGAACAGAACTAGAGAAGCCAAAAGACTCAGAGCACCACTTCTTTCTCTGTAGTGAATGTGTCTGAGATAGGAGCAGGTGGGTGTTTGTTTATTTGTTTTTCCTTTTCACAGAAAATAAACGTTCCCTTTTGAAAGTGAATGAGAGGAACATTATGAGCTTGAGGAACATGGGCCTGGGGACAGACATTATATGTTTCAGACCAAACACGGGGCTCCTGTGTTGTCACCCTCGTCAGGTTGACCCAGTGCTGAAGAGGCTGCAGGACCGCTACCGAGGACCTGAACCATCTGACATGGTGGAGATGTTTGAGGGAGAGCAGTTCTTCGCCGCTTTTGAGCGAGGCATCAGCATTGATATGGGTATGGTAGTGCTAGGCTCCTTTCTGATCCTACCCGTCTTCTGCTTCCCTAGCCTCAGGCCTGTCCCTGCTGGGGACTGTACTCCACCGTGGCGTTCTCCCTCGTCTGCAGCATGCTGCTCGCCTGCCACTTGCAACAGCCAGCCCGTGGACACGGAGCCTGCCGCATCCTCTGGTTGTCCACCTTGTGTGTCTAGCTTTCTCTACGAAAGTGCTGTTTGCAGACTTTTGTTTCCTCTCATGCTGCTGTAGCCTGAAAAAGGCTCTATGCACGTGTGTTTATTTCACGACTGATCTGCTTGTGCAGCCAGTTATACCCTTTTCCTGGCATCTCAAACACTGCACTGCGATGACCACAGGGATCTAATTCATGTTGTCCATTTCTGGGAAAACATATGTAAAGGTACCTCTCTGGAGAAGAGATTCTGAAATGATCCAGAGCAGACAATTCCCATTACCAAATTCCATATATATATGCTATCTCTCCCTTTTCATAACCCTTTTAGTCCTTTTCCCTAATGGAGTTTTTAGAAGAGAGAAAAAGAGGGAGCAGAACCAAAACCCAAGACGGTGTTTTATGCCCCAGTGTGTCTGAACCTATTACAGCTGCAAACTGAGCCACTTTCTGCAAAACCTGAATATACAGCTCAGTTTCAGTGGTGTATATTAAGAGCAACTCTATCAAGAGTAATAAAGTGCCCTGGATTTGCAGCAGAGTTGATGAGCCCGGAATCTGTCCCTTTACCCAGATTTAGGCTGGTCTCTAACTTAGTTTTAAGGTCGTTACATATATGAATGCCCTACCTGTTTTTATGTTTTCCCTTTAGCTCTATTCCTCTTTCTTCACACACTGTGAAAATGGTGAAGAGCTAGATGACCTATTTTTGTGTATTACCGAGTACTATCGCAGCTGGTACTGGCCCTGCCTTGCCTTGCTTTGCCTTGCCTTGCCTTCATGAACTTGATCTCCACCTTGTGGCCATTCTACTTCTTCATCTGCTGGACGTGCTTTCCTGTGTCACCCTGGGAGAAAGGGGGGTTTAAAATTCTTTCAGGCCTGAGTAGGAGGAGTAGATTGTAGCCTGGAGGCTGCTAGTGGGTGATGGGCTGTTGCCCAGGCTTAACAACGTGCACGCTTTTCTGCACAAGTTGAATTGATGCTGCTTCTCTGACAGATCGCCCTGACTGTGTGGATGGACGTCTCTCGTTCATTTTTTACTCGCACTTGAAGAACATGAAAGAAATCTATGTGACGTCCCCTGTAGACAGGAAAGGCCAAGCTGTAAAAGGCCAGGTGAGCTACCAGTGATGCTCCGCACAAGGACTTTTTGCTTCCTCCTTCATCATCATCATTGTATTTGTGATGCTCCTCACCATAGTCTCTAAGCGCTATGCATGACTCTTTTCCGTCCCTCTTGACTTTGCCTTTCACTGACTGAGCCCTGAATATGCAGGAAGAGGAGATGTGGGATGATCACTCCTCACAATTTCTCTCTGGCTTTATATTCCTGCCCTTAACTCTTGGGGTACTAGCAGAAATGGGAGGGAGTCTAGCTGCTATGGCAGAACCTGAGTGTCCCTCTCAGTCACGCCTGAGTGGGGAGAGGAAAGGCATATTTATGGACCGAGGATAGGTAAGAAATGCCAAATCCATCCTTTCCCAGAGTGAAAAACAGGCCTACCACTGTGCTCGTATCTTGAGTCTCACTGCATGCTCTGTTTGCAAAGGTCTCTTTCTACCGAGGGGCAGTTCCTGAGAGCATCCCTGAAGATGCCAGCAGGAGGAGGAAAGGACCAGACTCCCTCTGGCTTGCTACTCTGCCAATCAAACTGCCTGTGAGTTATTGTGTCTCCTACAGAAAACTGAATGGCTAATTTTCTCCTCCTGCACGATAATGGGTGGAATGAATGAAGTTGCTGCCCACCTGCACAAAGGAAAGGAAAGCATTTTCTCTTCCTTTTAAGAACTCTCTGTGGGTAGAGGAGGGGTATTTGTTTTCTGTAAATGAAGTATAGCGTAGCGTTGTGATGACAGATTACTGAAACATAACTGGAAGCTGGCTATAATTAAGAGAAGTTTCTGTTTTGCACATACATTTCTCTGTCACCCCGATCATCCTGGCAGGAAAATAGAAAGGTCTAGGATGAGGTAGTTCAGTTGCATTTGGATACAAGTGTTGGGTGAAAGTGAGCCACTGTCCTGTAAAAGCCAGGCTGTGGGTTACAGAGAGAAAAGCGACTTTATCTTACGTAATCTACTTGATTCTGAGAAGCTTAAACCTGCAAATGTCTTTGTAGGCTGAACGTTTCCCTTCAAAACATGTGCCTTGATCTCCCTTCCCTTTCTGATGCACGCAGCCTCAACTAGAAATCTAGACTACGTGTTCCCTTGCTGCTGAGGCAAAAATGTTTTGAGGAAATGGTTCATTAAAACTTGCTCTCCAAAGGAAAGAAATTTTTCAGTGTGAGCTGTGACTGTGGGCACTATAATTTGATATTTTTCAGAGGCACTGAGCATTGCCAGTCATTGCAAGTTTCAGTGCTCACTGCTTCTTACAGCCGGACTCTTCAGCCCCGAACTAAAATCTTTCTTCCTCCTCAGTATGAGGAAGCAAATTTCAATGTGCAGACTGAATGGCCAAACACTTGTCCTCTTCAAAGAAAATTTATTTAGCAAGTTACATCTCTTCTCTGTGAAACAGAGATTGAAACCCCGCTGGGGTGAGAATCCCGGTCCCCTGAACGGCTTCTCCTTCCCTCCTCTGAACCTGGGGAACGCCGAGACTGGCTACCTGACACAGGCAAACCTGCTGAGCATTGCCAGGCGTGTGGGAGCCGACTGGCAGACCATCGGCTTGAACCTGGGGTTGACCTATCAACAGATTGAGCGCATCAGCTACAATAACAGGTAAGGGGGACACAGTGCTCAACAGCAACCCGTGGCATACAACTGCAGTGCAGTAATCTAAATCCATGCTTGTCTGGTTGAAAGTTTTTCCACTGGAATTGTTTCACTGGATGAAAGGCGGGTTGACTGACAGTTCCCAAAATGTTACCCTTTTCATAGGAAACTGATTGTTTTCTCTTGCTGTTGAAAAATAAAGCATACTGTTTGAAAAACAAAATTTGGAAATAACAAACCTGAGGAGCTTTGTAGTTCCCATATATCACATTCCTGTTCTATTCTGTGATCTAGATTCCTGGCTGGACTCCATCTTCCATGATGAGCTATGGTCCAGGGCTTTGATTGGGAACATCATCTTTATTTAAGAAGAGATTGTGGTACATCATGGGACATGTAGTCTGACCAGAAAGCCAAGGTAGTAGAAGAGAATGGGATTTGTTAATGACCAAACTACCGTTCCTGTGGGGCTTTGCAGTCATGCTCAAAATCAGAATGGTTTAATTTGAAATTTCTGTTAGGAAAAACTTTTCTAGAGAGATTGGAGCGCATTGGGTGGGGAAAAGGCAGTCCCACTAAGTGCTTTGTGTGTGTCTAAATGACTTCTTCAGTGCTCCAAACGTGGGTTTGGTCTCAGGTAAGTCCTCTTTGGACTTGTTGGTGAGGAGAGTGTATTGGTTACTTCTGTGTTTCTGCCTTTCTTCAGAGAGGACCTTGATAAACAGATCCTGGACATGCTTTTCTCGTGGGCTCAGCAAAACTCTGAGGATCCTGACTGTGTGGACAAGTTGATCACAGCCATGAAGGAGAGTGGCCGCCAGGACATTGCTGATGAGATTGAGACCATCATTGAGCTGGGTCGGCAGAAATACAGGGAGTCCATCCGCCGTGTGGGCTTGGAGCAGGAGAGCAGCACTGAGGACTCCGCAATAGCCATGGTGTAGCACCTCGCAGAAACAGCCGAGTTTCCTATGGACGTGCCTCTGCGTGCCCGGAGTGACAACGCCTGGGGGCTGCTCCCTGCTCAAGGGCCATTATCCTCCGGAGGTGGTGAACACTGATTCACTTGTGAGCAGACTACCACACGCTGTTAGGGCTAGGCTCACGTGTTACTTCTGCTAATCCCAGAAAGTTTACAGTGTGTCTGTGAGCCTTTTCTGTACTTCCACTTCCTGACTTTGAGCTTTAGATTTCAGGAACATGGAGAAGTTCACAGCCTGAAGTGGCTGTCAGTTGAGTAGCAGCTGAAGTAGCCTTTAATGAATTAATATTCATGTCACATATATTTATATGTAACTTATTTGTGAAGCCGTCTTCTGCTAGAAACACAGGGCGTGAGCATTGCCAGTGGGTCTGTTTGTGCTCCAGGGCTTAGTGGGAAAGTGGAGGTGCAATCATGTTATGAAGTCCCATGGTGTGGTGGGGACTGCTCAGCTATTTCTGTTAATTCCAGGTATTGCTCACAGTCCTGTAATGTCCAAGCACTTCAGAGTCTTTTGTGTGGAAAAACTGAAGTGGAAAATGTTTCCCCCTTCAATCTCCAAATTCCCCATGAAAATCTTCTCTATTTTATGCCAAATCTCTTCAAGGCCAAAACAACACCTAAGTATTAGTGGGGAAAAAAGGATTGAAAGAATTTCTGGCAAAATTGTTCTTTTTTTTTGGTTGCGCTCCAAAAACTATTTTGGAACAAATAAAATCTCACAAAATAAAATCTCACAGGCCCCTGTACCTGGCACGCTTTTTAGATGAGACCTACATGCTGATAGTCTTTGTCCAAGTTCCATTTTTATTTTACAAATAAGTAAAAAACCATCACCTCGATGTTCTGGACAGACTCTAACTTGGGTCAACCTTCCAGTTTTGCAATCTGAACATCTTACAAGACTATAAGTGCTTATTACTTTTTAGCTACCCAGTCTCTGTCTCCGGAGGTGCCCTTCCCTTCATGGCACCCATCTCATACTGGGCCTCGTCTACTGGCACACTAGTGATAGCGGCAAGTTTTATGCAAGCTGCTTGGGAGACTACTGTAATCCATGTATATTCAAGCCCTTCAAGACAGCTTTGGATTCAGCACATCCCACCCTCCAAGCAATATTTAAATATTTCAGTCTGAACACTGGAAGTCTGTATGAAAATAGGAGGTTGCAACACCCAAAGTCAGCCTGCAACTGCGGGTTTGAGAAAAACTTTTGCTTTCTTCCCCCTTCTTTTTTTTTGTTCTTTTCTCCCTTTTTACTTGCTTTGTGCAATGTCTCCTTCAGTGATTTCCCTGATGCTGTATTTCAGACCTGCTAACAGTGCTGTCAACAGGCATAAAATTGTTCCTCTTTTTTTAAAGGAAATTCCAAACTGTCAGGCTGCAGAGTGCTTGGTGGGTGCTGGAGCCCTGGGCAAGGACTTGCAGACTTGAGTTGTTGCCTTGGGCCTAGGGACTGACTCAGATCTGATTTTTTAGGCCGTGTTGCCCCTGCAGTGTCAGGTCAAGTTCAAGTCAACAGTCCTCTTCTGAATGAGCGTATTCCCTAGTAGCCTGTCTCATATGTACTTGCCTGTCATTTCAATGTGTACCAATGATGTATTTGTTCTTTGCTCCAGTTTTGGAGAGATGCATTTGGGCATATTGCTCTCACTGGGAATAAAATAAGCACTTAACTATTTCACAGCTTTGCACAGTCTGCAAATCCATGAATGCCTTGAGGTGTGTGAGACACAGCCTGGTGCCTTTAAACCTGCTAGCAAAAATACAGATGAGCTTGGCTGTTCTGCACGGAAACAGGCAAAAGAGCCCGTGTCTGAGCACTTCCGGCTACGAACGGCAGGACAGAGCGCAGCTAGGCTAATGGTACGACTGTAGCTCAGTTTTGCTGCAGTGGGGCTAACCTAGGAAATAGGAAACCTGGAGTCAGGGCTTGGGTTTGACTGCAGTATGACCAGGCTCAGGTAGAGCCGGCACAGGCAGCCACACGGCCAGCATGCAGGTGGTGGCAGGGTGGCCAGCCTGGCCTCCGGCAAAGCTGGACTCGGCTCTAGTGAGGCTTTTGGCCCAGCAAAGCCAAGCTCAGGGAGCCTACAGGCAGCATAAGGTAGCATCCACGGCTACAGCTGCATGAGGCTGGGCTGCAGCCAGCTTTCCATTTGCGATGGTCAACAACAGCCGAGTTAGGCAACGCTGAAATAAGCTCTAGCAAGGCATGGGTAGGCTGGACTCGTATAGGCTTTGGTGGAGCTACAGCCCTTCCAGATCGTAGATAGATTGGGCTAGGAGAGAGAGAGGTTTAGGCATTTAGGTTACTACAGGTATGGGCTACAACCAGGCCAGGTGATAGGAAACCCACCTGCCGAACGCTAGGCAGTATCATCAATAAAATAGTTCTTCAGGATTTGTGCAATAACTTAAATGGGGCAAGGGAAATTAAATAATTCCCCCAGACAAGTGTTGTTATCGTCAGTCTTTCACTGCTGACACTTGGGCTGGGCGGCCTCAGCGGCAGCTGGTTTTCTCCTTGCAGTAACGGTGAATAAAGCACTCAGCTGAGAGTACGGACAGGCTGGAGGGAAATCAGAGCAAGCCTCCGACTGCTCTTTTCTTCAGCTGACTTGGCAGCAAATATTTGAGCTGGATGAAAGTCAATGAACAGTATGTTATCTCCAGGTGTGTTATCTTTATCAACAATTTCTTTGAGTCGCAGTAACTCCTTCTTAAGCCTGTAGGTCTGTGTTGCTATGGCCAGGAAACCCTGATGACTGTTGCAGTAGATGGTTGAACCAGCAAAAAAAGAGATGTGGCATTTATCTTTTGCTTCCTGTTTTCATCTATGGCTTCTTTTATGAATTCGTTAAGTATCGGAATAGTACCTTTCCCTTTCCAGCTATCGGTCTTTTCCTGGATCTCGTTCCTTTTGTTGACAGCCGAATGTTGCTCGTTCTGGGGGTTGCACAAGCGGCAAACTGGCTCCCCAAGCCACGTGTGTGTCGTAAGGAAATCCTGGGTTGTGTCCAGGCAAGGCTGCCGCTGGCTCCCCGCTCTGAAATAAGCAGAAAGGTGCGGGTGCCAGCAACTACTGAACACGGGGGCCTGGGATGTCTGGCCCTATATGAAGACTTGGACCCACTTGGCACCTTGGTGTCCCACTGACGATCTGGTAGATACTGTGGTTTTCACTGTGCACAATACCGATGTGTCCAAAATTCCCCCAAACGTATTTCAGCCGGGAAAGACTTCTTAGAAAGAACTGAAAAATAAAGAAATTGTTCAGGGGTTGGAATATTTTTTCCAATCTATATTTGACCGTAACTTCTGCTCTCACAATTAGATCTTCTCCCACATCATAAACGTGCAAACCTCCAGCAGAAGGACCAAGTGCCCAGTGGACCCTGGGAGGTGAACAGTGAATTTCGCCCATGCCACCCTCCACTTCCAGCTCCTGCTAACTAGGACAGTCCTCTAACCGCCAGCGGGCCAATAGATCCAGATGAAGCACTTCCAGCCCATGCAAGGTTTAGAGATTAATAAAAGAAATTAGTGAGTAATGAAAGCCCAGGCGAAGCTCAAATCAGCTTATTAATTATGTAACGACACAGTCAAAGCCTGAATATATCCTGAAGGGTTTTTAACCTCTCTGCACTGTCCCAGCAATAGAACTGCTGTATAATTCCCAGTAAAGGGCCTGAAGGTAACACGAAGGCGGCAGCGAGCCAAAGGGGGCTGCTTTCGCCTTCCCCGTTGGCTGCGGCCGGACACCACCACCGTAAAATTCAGCAGGTCCGCACGGTTGCTCCGTCACGGGGAAGGCTTCGGAGAGGTGACCCGTAGGTCGTGCTGAGGGCGGGATGGTGCAGCCAGGGCG